CCCTCTTTCCCCCCTCCCCCCCCCCCCGCCATCTCCACTCCCACCCACCCCCCTTCCCCCCCTCCCCCGCCCCGGCCCTCGGGTGTGGGTGGGGGGGGGGAAGAAGGAGGAACGATGACGACATGAGCTTCTTTTTTTTTGTAGCTCGGGATCACATGAGCAAGTGTGTCATGCATAATTCATGCACTGTGTTACATGTTCATCCATCAAGGGAAAAACAGAGGCTGTTTTATATACACTTGGTCCCATAACATTTGTTCATGATGGTTGTCACGAGTAGGCGTGATGATGACCGGTTTCAAAATATTCCCAAGTTCATTCATTGTTATCAGCCATTTGTTATTATGGGAATCGTTTTATCTATATTAGGATATTCGTTTAGGGAGCCAGCCTATCACTACAACCACTACTATTATCATCATCGCAGGTGGGCGTGTGTGCTGGGATTAGTTTCGGAATGAGGATAATCCATGTACCGCCTCACACTAGTGTGCCCTGGGCATTCTTTTTTGTTTCTGCGATTGCCGTTTAAGAGAAAGGGCAGACCACCTTCTTGGCATTTAAAAATCAGGGTCGGGATATCACACGCTTCTTATCTCTCTTTTTCCCTCTCTTTTACCATTTCAAGATTATACGTTTCCATGACAAAGGACAAGGCTGTAGTGACAAGTAGGGGATGGTTATAGGTCTTGTTGCATAGATGCATAACATGGCTCACCTGGGCAAGTCCCTGATGTCGTTGCGCACCGTGGTTATTCGGGCCAGTATCCTGAAAACACAATGATTTCATATGAAAAGGCGATCGAGAACAACGCCTCTGCTTTGGAAGGTGGTAAGTACTGCTAACGTCACTTGGACGGAGACAACCCCCCTTTGGGACATGAGACACTCAATGGGAACTAGACATTCGCATGACCAAGGATGGCGAGATTATCATGATGCACGATATGACCCTGAATCGCACCACGACGGGTACAGGCAACATTGGACAAGTGAACTGGCATGGATACATTGATGGCCTTGTGACCAAAACCGATCCCCCACAACCGATACCCCGTTTTAAGGATGTTGTACAACTCATGCTTCGACGAGATGTGATTGACAAGAACATGTACATGATTGTGGATATCAAGGTATGTATGTTGTTGTTGTCATGGCAACAACAAATGAAATCAACGGGTCAAAGGCACATGCTTACCATGATCTCTTTCTCTCTTTTAGTTTGATAACCCAATAGCGATCCTGAATGCTGTCCACGACCTACTAAAAGCAGAATTCGCTGATCACATGAAGACCTTGGCTCGCCAATTGGTGATTGGTATATGGCACGTTGACTTTTTAAAGACGACGCAAGATCTGTTTCCCGATTTCAAGATATGCTTCATTGGATTATCCCTGGATGCCGCTCGCAAGTACTTTTTTGATGCCGCAGACTTACTCAGCATGCCATTCGCTGCCTTGGCTGATAAGGAAGGCCACGAATTTATCCAAGAAGCCCATGCCCGTGGTAAACGTGTAGCCACTTGGACCGTCAATGATGTTGAACAGATGCATGAGTGCTTAGCCATGGGCGTGGATGCTGTGGTTGGTGATCACGTGCAAGTCATGGTCAAGCATTTGCGTGAAACGCTGGAAGGTCTTTCGGTTGATGAATATGCCGATTACATTACAAAGAGCACCTATTTAAGCCATAGACGCACTCGAGTTTACTTTTATCTTTTGAAAAAGGCAATGCACTATGCTAGCCGTGGGTACATTGGAATGTAATAATATATCTATATCCATACGATTCTACTACTACTATTCCTTTGTCTTGTTGCTGTTGTTGTTGGCATCTTCGTTATGGACAATGGATCCTTTTTCATCCACCTCAAAGGATGCTCTTACGCGTTCTTCAGGATGATGTTCTTGTTGTTGTGATTTGGCTGCTCGTAGTAACACGATATGTCTGAATAACAATAATGCACCCACGCATCCACCAAAGACCCAGATGCCATAGACAATGAACCATGCAGGTCCTGAACGATGCATGGCAAAGCCAATAGGGATGTTCACCACGGCGAGCAGCAACAAGACACGACCCAACCACACATGTAAACCATTATGCCACGGCCTTGCAGCGCCCTTGGCACGTCCTCGTACGCGAAAGATGATATGATTGACGACACCCAATAGGATCTGAAACCATGCACCTGCTACTACAATAAGACCAATAATCTGTTGTCATGTGTATGTGAGTAGGTAGGATAATGCACAACACCACTATGCAGGCAGGCTATTCATACCATATGGGGTTTAGCTCGGAATCCCCCTGTTGCAATGATGCCAAAGGCAGCTGCCACCGTCATTGGAATGGTCACACAGATCGCCATGATCAATTTGTGCGCTTTGGCCCACCACGGCTTATCATGTTCTCGTCCCCAAGCAGATAATGCAATCGCTGCTGGTACAGCAAGAAGCCAAACAAAAAGCATCAACCAAATATGTGCATCAATGAGCGTTTGCTTTTCCATCATTATTTCGTTTCGTAGTAGGCGCGTTGATTAGGAAAAAGAGAAAGAAAAGAAAAAGAGAGAAAGAATGTGCAATAAAGGGGGAAAGAGAGAATGAAGCGAATATGTGTTAGGTGGGGGAGATCTATAAACAAGCGATAAAGTGTGTGTGCGTGCGTTTGTTTGTTTGTATAGAGAAAATCTTCTAGACTAGATTCACGGCATCAAGCAATTGTCCAGAGGGTTCCTTCATGTGGGCAGGTAGATATTGTAGAATGCTTTCAAACAAGTGGGTGCGCTCCTCAAACGATTCCTTATCTAAACATGCATCCATTCAATGAATCCTTATCCGTCTTACTGCTGCTGCTGTTGTTGTATGATACTTACCATCGTCATCATCATCATTATCCGCAAAGGATCGTTTCGTCTGCTCTTCTTGATCGGTAATTTCCGATGATAAACATAATTCGGCACACAATTGCTGAAATTGACTGGCTTCTTCCCTGATTGTGTGATCAACAATGGTGGCTACCTTGGATTGTAGATATTCGAGCGCCTTCAATGTGGCATCATTGACCGCTTCAGTATTACAGCCCCGCTTTGGTGCATTAGCCCGTCTGCAAAGTTCACGCATACGCTGCATCCGAATCATTAAAAGACAATGGCGAAAGATACTAGCTGGATCAGGCCTACTTTTTGTGTGAGAAACAAAGAGAAAAAAGCATGTACAAGGGAAACACTTACTTTGTTAACCGTAATTCCCAAAAATCAGCCAACCTTCGACCACCACCACCCGTAGCAGTATAGGCACTACCTGGCTCACCAGGGTTTCCACCAAAGATGTAATGTGCTTTTGTGGATGGATTGTAGACCATTTCATGTGCATAACGTGGTGTTGGATATTCATCATCGCGTTGTGTCTCCCGCTGATTTTTTGATTGATAGACGCACTTCCATTGGTTTTGTTGAATGCTGTAAATCCATAACTCATTGGCAATCATTTCAGAAGCTTGACGATGCTTGTATCCAGTAAGCACATGAATCTCCTGTTGGGCGCTTTCCATGATGGCACGTTGCGTAAAGCCTGCTTTGGGACCGAAGCTCTTGGCGTATTCTGATCCGATATCAGTTAATCGATCTTCATCAATTTGATAGCGTAGCAGATCCGTAAGATAATCTTTCACACGTTGCCCCGCAAATATGTACAAGGATCGACACGTGGGATCAAACAACATCGAGTGGCCGACACGTGACGTGAGGGGTTGATCATCATCCATAAATCGAGCCGCTTCATTGACGGCATTGAAGCTCGTTGAACGAGAAGCACCATCGTCCCTAGTAGTAGTAGACGTAGTAGTATAAGTAAGGGTGACCACTTTTTCATTTGATGAGGACGACGATGACGTACCGAATCATTTGCCAAGTATTAGTGGGGATGTGATATGAATAAAGGGGACCATAATTGTAGCCGTTGGATTCTCCAAAGAGCCGACCGCCAAACACAAACAATTCAGAGGACATGGTATCAATGCACATTTGATGATCATACAAGAGTCCAGGTCCACCTTCCCTCTAAAGATAAAATGTATGAGCTATCCTGCATGCTGTTGTTTTCACGTCATACGAACCGCTGTATTGTCGCTGATTTTCACCCATTGATCGTATTCCACAAAGTACCGATAAAAGTCGGATTCCAAGTTGGCTGTCATGACGACCGATGACTCAATAAATCGACCCAAGACAAAGATGGACTTGGTATCAGGATCAAAGCATATCTTGTGGCATGATCGAGGGCTTGGGCCACCCTGACTAGTATTCCCATTAGCTTGCTTGCTTATAAATACCGCCCAAACATGTTTGTTACTTACAGCTCGGTGTTGACGCTGATGAGTTGCCATCGCCCTTCGCGTATGTGATAACACCAAAGATCGGCCAAGTCATGTTGTCCATTCCAACCACCGAACAAGTAAATCTTTTCCTCTTCAGTGTCGATACACATTTGATGTCCTCCACGACCACAGGGTGCATCACCATCTAGCATAGTGTTGTTGTCAGCACACACATGCATACGCTCGTTGACTTTTCACATCTACCTTCTGTGGTGGACCATATCCGCTTCCATGTTGGCTTGTATTCAGCGTTATTGATGTACTCGTTGAAAATGTTGCATCCATGGGCCTCTTCAAGAACATGTTCCGCAGCGTCGAAATCTGATTCCAAGACGAGGTATTTGTGTAAATCGGATAAGAAAGGATGCTCCAACTCGACCCCAGTGCGATTCTTGATCATGTAGAAAATATCCATCATGTTGCGCTGACGAAAATGCTTAAGGCACAGCCGTAATGTCTCTCGTTCACGATACTACATACGACTCCTTTTTAATCACTCGCATTCTCACCCTCATCCACGTCTTCCAAGAAAGGCTTACATTTTGGTATTCGTTCATGACAAGCTCCATAATTTTTGGATCACTATGACCACGTAAATCAACATGCCAGATGCTGTAATTGAAATTGGGACCATAGGTGGCAAGTGGGACAATCTTGATATACTGGATGGGGAATACCTGCCAACAACAGCGTTTGAGTCAAAGATCCACGCACACACGCATACACATGAACTACTCACCACATTGCGTAAAGAATGCACGAGCGGGAATATTTCTGCTTCAGGGTTGTTTTGGAGTCCTAATTGGATGATGCATTGATTAAGTTGCTGTTGCTGCTGCTGCTGCTGCATGAAATTGCCATGTTACCATTATGCAGAATCTCCACCATGTCCTCTGGATCCATTCCTCCATACACTTTGAATTCCCGTAGATTGCATACATGGGCTATATACACCAAAGATGAATGAATAAAGAGTATACACAACACACACCTATATATGATTACCTCGATGAAACTTGCCAAACATGATGGAACCTAGAGTCGATGTTACCAAGTCGATTCGGGGAATTTTTACGTTGCGTTGACTTACAGGCTACGGCAGGTTGATCCAACCGTAAGACGAGATATTGAGTTTGGTCGTGCGTGCCAGAAGACCATCGCGATGACTGATCAGAGGGTTTGTTGACTCGAATATTGTGTGGGTGAAAGGTGCCACAATAGGAAGAATACTCGTGAATTGTATAGTCGAGACGTACTGGTGTTTTTGTCGCAATGACCTTGGATACGGCTGCTGCTGCTTCTGCTGCTGTTGCATAATGGTCAGCATTGGCAACACCCCATTCACACGTACACACACACACTTGCCTCGATCGTTGGTCATGCGTCCCATGGTATAGCTTGTAGCAAGGCCACCACTACTACTACTTCCCGCAGCAGCGGCATGGGCACCATCCAGAGATTGCTGCATTGGACGAGCTGGGAAAGGGCATGCGGGCATAGCAGAAGAAGGGTACACAAAGGAACACGATTCGGCGCTTTGATGATGATGATGTGCTGCTGCTGTTTTAGTAACATTCGGCTCGGCCGTTGTTCTCAATGATGAAAATGAAGGCATAGAAGCATCTACATCGCATTGATTATGACAATCCATTGTGTGTAAAACAAAACAATAAAGGAAAAAAGGAAATGAAGTCGATTCCCCCCATTCTTTGCTTGCCATATTCTGGTTCAAATGAAAAGATTTCTACTTTTCCCGGGATAACGTTCGTCGTCGCGTGCTTTATTATAGTTCAACATGCTCGAGCATCTACAAGGTAACATGTCAATAACCCAAGTGCTGTAGAGCATATCTACTACCACCACTACTTGCCTGTTTATGAGGTAAAAAGGCCAACCAATCCGATGTCGTTGTAGGAAGCAAGCCCATTGCATTGACTTTGTACACACCCAAAAGCACTGTCAATAAATGAAGGCCAATAAACAAAAGCTTCGGAACAATCAATTCTGCAGCTGTTTCCTTGGATTCAAAACGACCAAATGCTTCAAAAGAGAGAGGGTCAATAGGAGTGGATATGGGCACAACATCATTTACTTACTTTGTTGCAATGACATGATGGCTTTGGCTGGGTTCAAGAAGAGCATGATTGTGATCATGACACTAAAGATCTGCACACCGTTACCGGTCATATAAATCATGATGGCATTCATAGGAATACTCTTGGCTGGACCCCATGCAACATCCCAAGCTCTCTATATTGGGTATTAACAAACATCATCCAGGAGTTTTCGACAAAACATACCCGAATCTTTAATGCACTATCGTTATGAGCATCTTGTGTTGTCGTTTGTCGTGCTGACTTCTATGCTATTGTTCAGTGACCTTTTATCCTCCTCCTCTACCTCCTCAAGTAGTCTCGAACTTACTGAAGCCCCCTTGGATTGTGAAAGTGCACCTGGCTCGTATCCCACAGGATTAGCAACCGCTTTTGTCCTAATGTAAAAGAAAAGGTTGGTCCCGCCATCGACACACCAATGCTGTACCTCACCTTTTGTTTGCACTTATTGAAGCGTAATCGATCGACCAGTCCGGCATGTTGTAGCTGAGATGTGGGCGCGCCGCGTTGCAAAAGAGACGACAACCTGTAGTGATTTTGCGGAACCATAACTCCCACTCCCATTCATGATCCTCCACATTGGGATGTGTTGCCACCCAACCATTGCCCATCATTGTTGCCATGCAACCCCATTTCTGAAGCCCTCCAATAAAAATGCTGTCATGTATATACATTCATTTCAAAAGATTCAAATTGAATCATGTTATCGACGACGTGGAGCACCTGTTGAAACCTTTTGCCTAAAGTATCACAGCAATAGAATAATAATCAAAGTGTCGTTTCCACCTTATTTGCCAAGTTACTTTACGTTTGGCTGAAGTATGAGCGCACAAGTGAGGGAGCATTCATAACCACAATACATACTCACAAACAAAAGCAGGTTGAGTATTGATGATTGAAAGCACATGGGAGATAGCATGAGCTGGAGATGGAGCGGTTAGTGTAGGTCATGTGATTCAGCTCTTTTCTAGCATGGCGGTCCCCCCCCTCAAGCAGAGTTTAAATCCATTGCATTGCACCCAATACACATTGCTGTATCTGAATTCGTCTTGTCACTTTGATTCCTTTAAACCATGGAAGTTACCCATGAGCTACATGGTGATGGTATTTGGGTCATCTCATGCTTCATGGATGATCTCAGGAATATGGGCAGTAAATGGATTGGCCTGAGGGCAGATGCCATCTAGAGGATATAGAGGTTATACAAATGCTGTAGTATCACATCTTTCATCATGTACATGTTTTTATATTGATTGGAGATACCAATGAGAAGATATATGATATTATAATTGAAAGGGATCAAAGGAGGTATATAAACAAGGACTAAAATTGCTTCAAGCGATTTTCAATATTCTTGGTGATGCAGCTGTTTGCCTTTGATATCGGCGAAAGCGGATCATGTGGTGCGTAGAGCTATCAATATGTAGTATCGTGACAATGAGCATTACGATGATATCTGATCTGATAATTGCCTTGCATCCTTACCTATTTTCCCTTCAATAAAAGCTTTTATCATTATACCTCTCGCACCGTTTATATCTTGATCCATGACTACGCCACAGTTCCCACAATGGAAAAGCTTGCTTCCACCGAAATGAGGATGGCACCATCCACATTTGGAACACATTTTACTTGTATATGCCTCATTTTGGACGACGACGATCTTCCCGCTCATGTTCGCTACAGAACCATTTAGGTCAAATGTACCATTGTGTAAAATAGATGCCTACCTTTTTGCTTGAGGCGTTGCCGGAATTTGTAATGCTTCCATTTCAACATCAGACGAGTTGTTGTGTCGCTGACCACTCTTTCTTTTGCCTCGATCTGAAGTATGCTTGACCATATTGCTCGTTTCAGATATCGAATGTGTCCAGATGTTGACCATGTTGCCGTTCCCGATAACATGTATCTTCGTTTGACCATCCATCAACGTTGTCAACTCGTTCAGGGGATCCTGATTTGACCTTCATTGCATTGGACACATAAGCCCTTCACGACCTCCTTGTGCTTGCATGCATCTGTGGGTGTCTTGATGATGTCATACAGCATGCGATAGAAAAGCCTTGAAGCAATCATTGAGGAATTGCCATTGTTCATTGACTTGGTGGCACCTTCGCGAAAGATTCTAGCGATTTTGTGTCGACGCCACGTGGCTAGCTCGCTGCGCTGCCGGCGCAAAAGATACTTGTTATATACATTGATGCTGCATAGTCGGTGAGTATATAAACGAAGAGGAATGTATAAACGATAGTTACACCTACCACAAAGGGTTCATCAAGGAACACAGCCAAATG